CTGTGTGTGACTGCCTGGTCATGCTTCCGGTCCCAGTTAGACTCTGAACCCGCCTGGGAGCTCTATGATGCTTGGAAGCCTGGATCCTGCCACCTGTCTGTTCCACCCTGATCTGGATCCTGTTCCTGTCTGTTCTGAATCCCTGACCAGGATCGGCTTCCTGCCAGACATCTGGAACTGCAGCTTTGGGGACATTCTTGGACTGGACTGTTAAACCAGAGTGTCTGTGATCGGGCGGTGCCCTGCTCCCCCTCCTGCAGTGTCCAGGAGCCACAGCTCCACTTTAGTTTTGTTTATTTAATAAACGTTTTGAACTTTCCTACTGACTGTCTCTCCTTGAATACTGGGTCCATCTGTCCTCGGTTCATGACACTACATGCCCCACAGCGACCCTGACAGAATTAACAGTAGATAATGGATAGATGAATGGTCCAGTCTAAGTCCAGTTAAGAATGTAAATGAACCACTTTAATGCAGTCGTAGAAAATTTAAAATACCTCAAATTAACTGCTACTGTAAAAGAAGAAGATTATACTAAAGTTATACTTATTTGTCAAAGAAATGCTTGCTTTTCCTTTCAATTTACATTGTTTTTCCACAGAAAATCCTCAATTTGATGCCTGTAATGAGGCAACATGTGATTAATTTTGCAAGCAGCTCCTAACCTTATGGCCTCAAGCATTGATAGACTGTGTGTCAAGGAGAGATTTGATCTTAGGGTATAAAATGTTTGGTAAAGTAAACCTTCATTGGCCACACAGTTGTTAAAGCTGCAGAAGGTTTAAAAAAAAAACCCACTGAGGATTTCGTGCTGCCCGCAGTCGCTCCACCGCCCACTGAATCACTTGGACGCTTTCAGGCTCATCACAGAGGTGCTGCTTTGGCTGAGCGATCCCACCTGGACACAAAGCACATCCAGCTGAGGCAGCAGAGGTGCTGCAGGCAAACGGTCAATAACATAATGCTGCAGCGCCGCATCATACCTGGATCTTCGCTGCTACAGGCTGAGATGGAGAATCTCACTGCTGTGGAGTTTGAAGCTGTGTGGAATAGAAATAAGAAAATTCACCATTCTATCACCTGGTGTAATTCATTCAGGTATGTTAGATTTGTACGAGTGTGTAAGTCAATGCACCGAGCGTAACTGGATAGCCTTGCCATCGTGCATTACCAGGGAGAAGAGCCTTTGTGCTACGCTAATACATATGATCTGGTAAACCAATATCCTCACTGGCACAAGCTTGCAAGCAAAACTACCATGCAGGAACATTTGCATCCACTACCTTTAACTGGAAATAAACAGTTTATAAATTGGCTCTATATTGCTTATTTCAACATGACAATGTCATTCAAATATGATACTAAGATCTGAGCAAAGAGGACACCCTTAGTGTTTGTTATCCTGAGTTTAACATGGTTTTCTGTTTAAAATAACCTTGCATCATCCTCAAGTCTGTTGTTCTAATGGATCTTTGTTTTTTCTCAAACAGAACCAGTGAATGACTGAATCTAAGAACTATAAGTTCAATTGGTTTTAGACTCGTTTCTTTGTCCTTTTACTTTATAAATAAACAACAAATACCTTAACAAAGGGTTGGACCCAAATGGAACTTACCAATCCTGGTTTGTGCTTTCAGTTTCTGCCCCACTGTCACCACATACTTTCTTGGCACAAGGGGTTGACATTATTGGCCAGGATCTCTTAGATAAAACTTTTTATCAACTGATCAACTGAATTGGACCTTCATGTACTCCAATAAATTATCGAATTCAGCTTTTTGCTTGTGGATGATTTAAAAACCGAGTTTTACAGTAAAATATTAGCTGAATCTGTTTATCTGGTAAAGTGCATGGATGCCTTATTGTAAGACGGTGCCACAAAATAACGTTAATTTCGTTGAATAAAATGTATAAAAGGCGATATATCCATATAATGGAAAATATTTAGTTTTGAATGACATAAAATAGAATCTATTTCAAATTTTTATACCAGCACTAATTAACTCAAAACTAATTTTCATTATAAAAGTATATTGTTTTTGTATGTATTCTTGTTCTTAGATCTCCATGTGGAAATTTTGGATTAATCTTGGCCAATGGTGCTTTGTCTCAGTTTGGAAACTTCATATACGGGACTTTAAAGGGGAACGCCGTTTTTTTTACATACATTAACGTCTTCCTATGGGCAACAAACTAAACTGTTCATAATTTATCATTTATGGTACGCCAGCATTCATAACATGTAGGCCAATCACTGTCCCCCAGACATCTGCGGTTATATTTTTTATATTTATATCTTTTAAAAACAAAGCGGTGCGTGTATGATGTCATCTGCGCGCTGGACTGGATTTGTGACGGCCAGCCCGGGCCACAGGCAGCTACGCTCCACCCCTTCTATTCATTCTAGCTAATCTGAATCGTTCAATTCCATTTGGAGAGCGAGATCATCTGTGGTAGCAGCACTAGACATCTTCCAGGCATGTGAGGAAAACTAGCAGCAGTTCAGTGGACAGGATGCATGAACGGTAGCCGGCGCGCACCGATGACGTCATAGACGCGCCACTATGTTCTAAACAAATATAAATATAAAAAATATAACTGCGGATGTCTGGGGGACAATGATTCACCTACATGTTATGAATGCTGGCGTACCATAAATGATAAATTATGAACAGTTTAGTTTGTGCCTTCAAGTCGTTGCCAAAAGGAAGGCAAGGCAAGGCAAGGCAAATTTATTTGTATAGCATAATTCAGTACAAATACAATGCAAAGTGCTTTACATGATTAAAATACAGGAAGATAAAAGCAAGTAGGGGAAAAAAAAAAAGAATAATAAAAACAGTTGGACTAAAGAAAATATGTTTTAGTTGAACTGTTTAACTAGAACAGTCGAAGGCAATCCTAAACAAATGAGTTTTTAGTCTTGATTTAAAGGAACTCAGGCTTTCTGCACTTTTACAGTTTTCTGGAAGTTTGTTCCAGATAAGTGGAGCATAGGAACTAAATGCTGCTTCTCCATGTTTAGTTCTGGTTCTAGGTCTGCAGAGCAGGCTGGAGCCAGAAGACCTGAGTGGTCTGGAGGGTTGATACACTGATAGCAAGTCTGTGATGTATTTAGGTGCTAAGCCATTCAGAGATTTATAGACAGAAGTATTTTAAAGTCTATTCTCTGAGATACAGGGAGCCAGTGGAAGGACTTTAGAACTGGGGTGATGTGCTCTACTTTCTTAGTCTTAGTGAGGACACGGGCAGCAGCGTTCTGGATCAGCTGCAGCTGTCTGATCCCCTTTTTAGGCAGATGTTACTTGGATATAACCTAACATAAAATCTTCAGAACAGCTTCAAATGACACAAAACTAATATGGGTGAGTAGAACATGATGTAATAATGTAAAATCAAGGGCCCAATGTAAAAAAAAAAATGGCGTTCCCCTTTAAATGTGTAATTTTTGGACACATGGCTGTAGGTCTTCCTATCACTTTTTTTTTGCCATGTTGGTGCTGTTCTTTGGTTAATCTTCATACCCTTGCCACTGTTTTGGATTTATCTTTTTCTCTTTGTCTGGTTTATTCTTTATCTTTTAAAACCCAGCCAGCAAATACCTCCCTCCCTTCATGCCTTTATGCACCTGACTACTCAGTACCCTCATTATTCTGCTTCAGCAGGGGTAAAGTGGTAGCATAAGGAATCAATCCCCGGAGGATAATAAATTAGTTTGCAGCTCCTGTAAAACAAAACTATTTTTCTTCCTTCTATATTAACATCTATTAGCATATTTTAGCATAAATATGGTTGACACAAAATAATAAAATAAAAACATAAAAATAAAATGTACCTCTTTTGGTGCGTTTGTTCTTTTTTTCCCATTTTTTCACTTCAACTTTTCTCCAAAATGAACCTGCATTTCTAACCACACAACAGTTCCTTTCTCCTCTTTCCTCCTTGGCAGGCTCAGCAACCTGACGAGGTGTTTTCTCCCTCTTCAGAGAGACTTTGGACCTCCCCTGTTTCTCAGTCATCGCCACTCGACTTCTCAAGCGGAGCGACGCCCCTGCAGTCAGATCGTGCCAGGAGTAATTCAGGATATTGACAATGCCGCTGGGGATGCAGTCTTTCTGCGACCACTTATGCTGTGAAAGTAGATGAGCCAATTTGTTTAATAAGTGAGGGGCCGCTCGCCTGTAGGCGTCCATCAGATCCTTTGGTGCAGCACTGACGGATGATGATGAAGCATCAGGTTCTTTATCATTGAAGGCTTCACCTGAGGGCTTCTGGGTGTTTAAATCGTTGCTTTCACCTTTTTGGTTCTCCTCTTGCTGACTGTAAGAAAATGGGTTCTTGTAATAGATACAAAGTTCAGCAACAAAACTTAGACGAACAATTTTTCTACCTTAGCTGAGGGCCATCCAGCTGTGACCCTCCACTTGTGATGTAAAAGTGTAAAATGTTGCTTTGAATCCACTTCTGTCTTGTTGGCTGCAGAAAATAACCAATGAATGTTGATTGATTTATTTAAAATTATATTTAAAATAGAGTCAGCAGAATAAATGCATTGAAGCCCACCTGGTCAAAGAAGAAGACAGGACCACCTCTGCCTCTCTGCCCACAGTCACAATCCATGACCTCCTGCACAGGCAACACTGACTTCAGCCATAATATTTGACCAATAAAAGTGTTTGTGAAATTTTGATTGATTTATTATCTTTAGATAATAAATCTTTATTATCTTAGAAAGAGAAATGTAAGGCAAGGGGAAATAATAATAACTGTATTGAAATTCATTATTCTAAATCAGTAAGCTTGGTGGAGTGGTGGAATAGTGGTTAGGGCATAGAGCTTGGAATCCTGAGGTTCTGAGTTCGAGTCCCACTCCCACAGACTGCCACTCTGGGTCCCTTAGCAAAGACCCTTAATCCCACAGTGCTCCCTGGGTGCCTCACAATGGCAGCCCACTGCTCCCAAAGGGTTAAATGCAGAGGTAAATTTCTCCAATGTGAAATCAATAAAGTTCAATACTTAAAAAGAAAAAAACAAAAAATTCCAAATATATTGTAATATATCCTCTTTGACACAACAGCCAACTGTAAAATGGAAATTCAACAAACTATTAACATGTATTTAAAAAAAATTTTGGGTTTTCTCTAATACCATTTTAAACCTATAACTAAGAAAACATCCTGCCAATGAAATGAGATTTGGTTCATAAGAAAGCAAGATGATATTTTACACAAACTGTAAATTCCAACAGTCAGATTAAAAATGTCATAAACATTAACAAAATGTTAATATAATCAGTGATCACTATAAAAAATGTCAGACCAGGTTGGACTTGTGCATATA